TATCCGGAATATCTGCTTGAATAAAATCACACGGCTACACAGTGGTTCGCCTTGAAGAAATTTCGCCTGATTTATTTTCCACTGATAATGTCATCTACATAATTTGACATCAGCTCTATTGATCGTTTGAGTTTATAATTTGTTGAGCTCAGTCGATTATCGATTAAACTGCATGTGAATATATGATAAATAGGCTTACGGAACACTCACATTAGATACACCTGTCCATAAAATTTCTGAGGACACTGATTCCTACTGATAAAAAAGCACCCACAGCGTCACAGAAAAAACTTACCGTTTCTCATTAAAGCATCTTGAACGAGCACAGCTCTTGTCACCACACCGGGCGTTACTCTATGGACTATTGCGATCAGTCCTTGAAATAAGCAGTCGGCATATGCATGGACGCACGACACTCAAGCGCAAATTTCATGCAGCCGGGTGTGACTGAATGGACCGGTCGCCCTCCCTAGGGTATTAACTGTTTTCTTATCCCTCCTGCCTATCGTCCACAACAATTTAATACCAACAACCGCAGTGCATTGGTCACCTGCTCATTTCAGGGCTCCAATGGAGACAGATCGCTTCAACCGAGACATACGAAATCCCGACTCAAAGAAACAATTCCCATTAAAGATGACATTGTGAGAAAATAGGTTCCAGACTCTCTTGCTGGCTATTGGCTTCTGTAATATGATGTCAAATGGAGTCGTGTTAGTCGTAGAGGGTTCATTTATCCGTGAGCTGTTGTTTTTCTGAGCAAAAGTTTGACAAGGAACATTCGTTTGCAAATCGCTGTGACACCAACGGAAGACGTAACCGAACCGCTCGTTATATTATCTCCCTTATGTTCCCGAAAGAATAAAATTCATTCTGAGTGAGCTGAAATTATCCGAAAATTCGACGTACTATTGCAAATTAGCCAAAGTTTGAGAAACATCCGGTCAGTGTTTGAGGCTTTCAGGCAGTTTAGTCCTGTCTACCGTAACTGTTTTATGCAGCAAGCAAATAGGGATGATTCCTGTGAACTCTCATAAGAGATGATGCAGGCTGCAGTGGCAGAACTGATTATGTGTTAGTGAAAAATGTCATCCGTTTCCACCCATCTAATGACCTTATTTGGACTAGATTTACTGAAAACAATCGTCCGCAATTAGTTTTAGTACTATTGAATATAGCCACATGAAAAAGTGGCGCAACGAGTTTGAAGGAAGATTCTACAGAACACACATGTTTAATATCCGTTTGAAGAAAACCCTACCTCGACTGAAAAATTAGTGCATCCTAGGGGCACTCTGCCTGACGGTACACTAATAATCTAGCGGGATTTGTCATCTTTGATGTGAAAGTCGGTATCAGCACTTATCTATTCTATTTTGCGAGGTACAACATCTGAGTGCGACAGTGAAAAATCTCGACTCTCTTCTGGAGGCGACGTGCAGCGGATTGCCTTGCGTTTCAGAGTTCTGAAATACTAATGGCTTGAATGAGTTTATTTACAGTGCTTCATATGGCTATCAACAAGCTTACCGAGCCAGTTGCCAAGCTGGAAGAACAGACCAAAAATCACTTTGTCCGACAATTTAGGTTACCATCTGTTGCTCATTCGAGACATTTGGAACCTATCAATAAAGATGTGCCGTAGCAACAGCTGTACATTATAAGCCAGATGATTTTATTCTCAACAAGACCTGATATGGACAAAAGGTTGCAGCCAGTTACTTATCAGATGACGACGAATGTCGGACTACGGGTATACGGCACCGAATAATCAGTTCATCCTGTTCAGGTTTTTCGAGGGGAAGAGTAAATATTTTACCGATTCCAGCAGTGGTTTTATCTGTTTCTTAGTGGTCGCATACTCCGTACGATTTGTGGCCGATTTGTATCCTCAAAACATTCCGATTAATTAAAGAACATTTATATCTTTGTGGTTTTCTTCATTGGATTTCGATTTAACCGTTTTTCATAGGGCAGTTTATGTTCAGTAAACAACGTACAGCCGTACTCGGTTGATGGACTTCGGTTTATTTCATCATTACTCTCAGACGAGAGCACCGATTCCACTGCCTCCAGCAAAGTTCAAAATATGGTCTTAATAAATTACTGTTCTCAAGTCTCATTTTCTGATAGGTCAATTTTATGAGCCATTTATTTCAGCAGTTTCAGGAAAACCCAGTTGCGAGATCCCTAGTAAAGGCGATGCTAAGACTGTGAACGTGTGCATCAGATAGCTACTTAGAATTTGCCGGCAGATTAGTATCTAACACGGTCTAACAAGTTGACCGTTCGGACTGAAATAAGTAACCAGTGAAGTGACAAGTGAAACACCTAATCGAAAGCATCAGGCCTCCATCTGTAGCCGAAAGTTTCGTGACTCCGTCCCAAAGCCGCGAATAACAGTAGCTGATCCATTGAAAGCCCGCCCGTCGTAGGTGAAATATGAGCAGATATGTTGGGACCAAATGTGGCCTCAAATATAGGTCACTGTTGTCAGTGTACAAGGTCATTTGACAAATATCAACAGGTCAACCGATGACTACCGATACATCATACACTATCCTGATTCTCGAGGCCATTGTCTTTACAGGCGTTTTTTCGTGAACCAAAAGTCGGGCAGTTTCTGTTGCCAAAGTCTACAAATTAAGCTGGTCACTGGATTCTGTTTGTTTCCAGATGAAACTCACTTTTGCTCAAAGCATCCACTGAAACACGAGGCTATCCAGATTTGACGTTCTTCAAAAAGGCTTTCGTTATTGCATAGGTAGTGGATAGTTAGGAGGCCATATGAAGTTCCACATCTGGATTTCATCCACCAAGTGGAGTCATTATGATTCCTACTGGGAATAAGCTGCGCATACCCAAGAAGCCATTGACCTTAGGTGAACTGCATTCAGTACCTAGATTGGGTAACCGAGAACGAAAACATCTGAAGATAGGTGCCATAAAGTATTGAAGGCGATATATTCATTTTCATTCGACGCGTCTGAGCAGTACTCATTGTCTATTTATCCGTCAAGTTGGAAAAAGATGACTTCTTCACGTAAAGGAGGGTTTCTTGCCGAAAAAACTCTTTTTAAGAATTCCACAGATTGTAACAAAGGATCAGTGGGAGAGTTGGTGGAAAGGTGATTCGTTTGTAAAACGTTCACTAAGCAACCCATACACTGAGAAAGATAACAAAGGTTGGGACCACTAGTTCAGAATATACAAATGCTGCAACAGGTTTAATAAGGAAACACACGTTGGAAGAGGTATACTGTTTACTTTCCGCAGCCCAACAGTCGTGTCATTATGAATATTTTGTTGTCTGTACGGACTAGGGCCAAAGGAACTGGAATACATACCTGAATACCATACAATTAGCATCGGAAGAATTGAAAATATGTGTTAAACTTACTTGAATTAACAAATTCGTTTGTAGGTTTACAGCCTGAACCCAAGCCTGCTACGACTTTACCATTACTGAACTGTTTTCACCGTGTATTGTTGTAGGTCAGCATGATCCTAAGCCAATTTTCCGTTCTAAAAGTGGAACTCAAGTATAGCTAGAAAATCCCCCATCAAGTTTCACAAAAACACAACTTACTTGAGCAAACCTTTGAATGACGTTAAATTTTCGGTGTCCTTGTATTGCTATTGAACGATTTGAATGGTTTTCAAAATTTCGTGATAGGCCCGTTCAGACCCACAAATAGGTTCAATTATCCAGGATATCAGAAAGAAGAAACGGCTTCAAAATTCCATGGTTCTTTTCAAAAAAAGGATAAGCAATATAAAGCAACAAACTTCGACTGTCCGAGTCCGTAGCGTCAAAAATAGCGCAAATCTGTCACGGACAGTGCAGTGCCACAACCGCACACCAAATAACGATGAGTGGAATTTTGACTCAGGGGTGTAGGTTGCGGTTTTCTTTCGCGATGGAAGTCTCGTGATGCTCATTGGTGGTGCAGTCACACGGAACTCACGAGAAGACAAATCAAACAGGCTATGCGAGCGGGACACGGACGATCACGTGTAAGCAGATCAGCCGCGTACATTCACGCAGACACATGCTAATACACAAGTGTTTAAAGGGGCGGTGGTTGCGACAAGATGAGTGGCGGGTACAGATAAGCAAAACAAGTGAAGAGTAAAAGTACATAGGCTGAGTAAGCAAACGAACGGGGAGCTACCATCAGGTAGGGTTAATCTTAATGGTTCCAACCTGGTTTCAATCTGGTTACTGACGCACTTGGGCGGGCGAAGCTTTTGTGTTAAAAGTGAGACGTTGCCCATTACTAGGTCCACCTATTGTTTACCAAACCTCTGAAACTACAGACTCAACAGTACTCGTGCACACTTAGTAGAGCGTACGTGGAACCTACCAAACCGAAATACACTGAAATCTAATTTTTAAGACGATCAATTATATGCTACTCAGGAACCGGAAGTAGTAGAACGAAAAAACTGAATTTTCTCCGGTTGATTTTGGTGAGCCTCGCCTCGCCAGCGAAGTTTCCGCCCTTTTCGATCAACTGGAAAAGGTTTAAAATCGATTGAGAAGTCATCGTTTCAGAAGAGCTTGATAAACAATCGGTAGTTTTTATTTGGGCAACGTTTCGCTTTTGACACAAAAGCTTCATCAGGCCAAGTGAGCAGGTCACCAAATTGGCCAGGTTATAAGTTAGACGGGGAACCAATCAGTAAGTCAGTCCTCTTCAGATTGTCACACTAGATCAATGTTGAGTGTCAACTATGGCTCTTGTCGGTTAGTGGAGTTCTCAAAATCTTGCTTTGGTGGATTGAGGGGGGTGGTAAATTAATTCTGATCGGGTTTGGTTCGTTAATCTCCCACTTCAGGGTGTTTCAGCTGATGATTCACTTCGGATGTCACTGGTAGATTTTCCCTGGTTTTTGTGGGGTCTTGAGTGCTCCGACAATTTAGTTCAAGGGCTTGAGGTCAAGTGGAATCCAGATGATGTCCACTCTTCCTTTTGATGACCGCACACCAACACGTGTCAGCTCGACTGATCCAGAACCGTTCTCCACACGCTTGCCAGTTCCACACCTTCTATTCTGTTAAAACTGGGATGCTTGGCGATTTCTACCGCCTCGGCGATCAGTCTGTGTGACGTGGACCGTAGTCCTCGCCTCAAAACCTCAACATTTTCTAACTCTATTTTGTGTCCTGTGTCGATTGCGTGTTCCGCAATCGCCAAGTCATCCAGTGACGATCGATATTCACCTGCGTTTCTCGGCGGTCTGTTTATTTTTCTACTATGCCCTCCGACTCTGATGTGTAGTTCCCTGGCCGTTTGTCCTATACAGACCTTGGAGCATTCATTACACTTGATTTTGTAGACACAGTCTTTGGTTCTGTTTGCCGGGAGGCGATCCTTCAATTGCACCAGTGTCGAGCGCAGAGTGTTCCCCCTCTGGAAAGCTACTCTAATGTTGGCCGTGTTTAGAATTCTTCGAATTACCTCCGATGTCCCTGGTTTATATGGAATAACAGCTGTCCCAATCCATTCCCTGTTGGGTTTCTCTACCGGTATCAACACCCTTCGCAATTGACGCCTAATCAAGCTAGCTGGATATCCACTACCCCGAAGTTTGTTTTTTACCTCAATTTGGGCCGCTGTTCGATCGTCTGTGCACTAACTGGTTCCCCGTCTGACTTATAACCTGGCCAATTTGGTGACCTGCTCACTTAGCCTGATGAAGCTTTTGTGTCAAAAGCGAAACGTTGCCCAAATAGAAACTACCGATTGTTTATCAAGCTTATCCGCCCTTTTATTCCAACGCACCCATGGTATTCGGTCCCGCCGAGTGAAATTCAGCACCGTTATTCTGTTGGCACCAAAATTAAGTGAGCAACCCCGAGGTTTTCTTCCGGAAACGGGTGCGTTCGGTTTACTGAGCTTGTTGAGCTTTCGGGTACAGGATAGATTTTGTTTCAATGAGGAGGACAGCTAAATTATAGACAAACAGAGGTAGAATGTTCTTGTGAATAATATTTCTGAAGTAGCTGACAAGATACGTCACGTTTGTCCGTAGCTCTCTTCCTTAATCAGCTTGCGTTCCACGGTTGTACACGTGCCATCGGTTTCACTTGAATTGAAGAGTAAAAATAAATATGATACTTTATCGGTGTAAGCTAATGTATAAAAAGGGAGACAGTGTTTTTGAAACAGATTTTGTCAACAATAATTATGCATTAGGATGACTTGCTAGGTAAATCTCGCCGGGCGTATTGTTCGGATAAGTTACTTCACTCTATTGTCATTCGATTACTATGAAAGTTCTATTAAAAGGAAGAACCTGGTTAGAAAATCCTTCCTTCACAAAGCAGAGCCAGAATTCATTTGTCTTCTATTCACCGCAAGCCTGCTGACTTTTTTCAAAAATCTTTGCACCTTCCTTTCAGTGGTACTCTTTTTTGAAGCAAATCATCGTAACTTTAAACACACTATTGAGACCGTCCAGCTAAATAATGTGAACAATAGTGCGTCCTTAAATTAAACTATTTAACAGACGCCATGTTAATCATCGTGGTAGAAAACCACGGTGTACGTCCACGTTGGCGTGAGGAGATTGCTGTTAGCATCTTTTCGTGATTCGTTTGCTACACCCGACTTAGTGCAAGCAGAACCTACGAAGTACGATGCCTGAAAGTGATTAAGGAAAATTTAAAACCGGACTAAGATAGGAAAAGAGGGTAAAAATGGATTGCTGCTTCTCCAAGATAGCGAAGTTTCGCCAAATTATGCTTCTGAAAGCTTCTCCTATGTTTGCACCTGAAGAAGTCAGTTTAATTGTTGGTGTGAAACAATGGAGAGACCCAGTTAAGTCGGCTCCTTTATTTCGGTCATTCGGAAAAATTTGCCAGAGAAATTTGTTCACTTGACAGCAGTCCGGCAATATTTGAAATTTCTTCAAATGCACATAGAAAACGAATAATTTGAGTTTGCCAAAAGTGATTGTGAAAATTCACCAGCACCAACTTTCGAAATGAACTCTCATTTGAGAGGACAATGATTCTGGTCAACGAGTCATTTTGGGACAACCTTTTAAAGCTTACTATTGTGATGTCATGTCAATATTGATGGGCTAGCTACAAAAACGTACACATCGAATGTCAGTGATGCTGACAAGTCTAAATGCACTACACTTTCTAAGCTTTCAAAAAGAAGAGTAAGATATCGATAAACACACCCTTCTGTAAATTAGTTTGGTTTTCACGGGAGATTAAACTGTATTTCTCTAATAGTGACCTATATTGCGATATCTCGAATGTCGTGTCAACTGAAGTACCAGGCGGCCTTTGTGAAGCACATTCATTTGGGTAATAGCACAAACCAGCGCTCCAGTTGAGTCTCTCGCGAAAACCAAAATAATTTGTAAATGAGTGTATTTGTCGGTCCAATTCCAGTTTGGGTTCACGTAGAACATAACATGAAGGAAACTTCGGAACTGCACCTACCTGAAGAGACCCAAGAAGTGCAAAACTGATCGTGGGATGTCGAAGAGTTTCAGCAACTTTTTGAGTAGTGTCCTTTATAAAGAGTAAGATGTATAATATGAATATTAACGACAGCATTCATTGGTAGTAAAAAAACTAGGCTTGCGTTTACTTTGAGATTGTGAACGATTTGTTTTTAATGGAGTGTTCAAAAGTGTTCCGTTTCGAAGCATCTTATTGAGCCATTTTAGAAACTTGGGATATATCAATCGAAAATACAAATTTTGGTTGTTTTTCGAGAACCTACGGTATTCCGGATGAACTTATAATTTCCCTGCTAGAAAGACAGATACTTGAGTAATAAAAATCCTGTTTTGCCGACTGGTTAAATAGTTACAAAAGAGGAAGACCGTCTATAAATGCATTTCTAAATTTCTGCTAGACTGAAGCTTTGAATCAACTGAAGATCGCTGCCCAGCAGCAGCGAATAACAAGTCTCTTCCCTTGGAGTTACAGCAGATTCAATTAGGGTCTTTCCATCATATATTCAACCTAGCGTGAATTCAGCATTAAGGATGTTGAACAGCTATTGTTAAACTCTGTGGCTTTAATTGTTTTGTGGTATTTTGCAACACATGCAACAAATCTGTGGGTAAGTTTGCATTACAAATAACAATAATCTAGAATAGATAAAAATGTACCTTGTTCAGTAATAGAAATCAGTTATTACAGCCGGTTGATTTTGGCCAACCCTTTTTGAGTAATAAACAGTAAATAAAGTAGTTGCCTGGAAGGCTCGGAAGGACGGTTTCATCGGCCCAATCTGATAGGATTTACCACTGATCTTAGTTTTTGAGTCGCTCTCCGACGGTCACTGTACGTTAGCATAGCTTTGTTGCAATAAAATCTGTTGTTTCGGGTGCGTCTTGGAGGAATGAGAACTTTGAACACTTATGTGATTCGAACAACTCAACCCAGTTGATTCGTTGGCTACCATCATGCGGGAGAGCGAATCACTGAATAACCATGCACCGAAGTAAATGATAAAATACTTTATTATAATTTGAAAATTTGCCTGCAGTACTTATTGATCAGTGCTTTGGATAGTGAGTCAATTGTGGTGCAGTCATCAACGAGTTATAAGTGGGGTTAAGCATGAAATTATCCAACTAAGGGATCATAGAATTACGGGGAGATTGCTTCAATTAGTGACTGGTGAAAAGAATGATACATAAGATAGGATACATGAAACAAGCATCAAATGTATTGCTTACTATGAATTTAATCAAGACGGTTCCGCCCAGAAGTATGTTTGAACGATTTAGCAATAAGTCAGTGATCACCTTAACAGGGGCGCGGGTAATCAACAGGGAAGCAGTCAGTTGACTTGGTGGGAATATACAAGATAAACCGAACCTACAGGTAAGATTGGGGACCTCCTCAATTTCAAATCTTGAAATTGACTCTGTAAACTTGCATCGGTGATTCTTGTATAATTGTGGAAACCTTGGAATGGATTCTCCTACAAATTGCAGAAGATAGCGTGCTATCAAATTTATACATAGAAGAAAAAACTTTGTTGAGACATGGAACAGCCACCAATAATTCATCCTAGTGGTCCCCAATCAGCCTGACATCCGCATTTCCTAGTTTAATTATTCTTTGTCCATCCGACGAGACAAAACGTGACTCTGCTGGGTTGTATAACTATCATGGCAATATTTCCTTTGAATCTAGTGCAATAGACAAAATGATCAAACACATTTAATTGGCTAATCATTTCGTTTATAGTCTTTCATGGCCTTTTGATTCAGCACGCAAAAGATAAACACCTTTTTACCTTGTTCTTTTGAAATAAAACGCACCATTTTCTGTTTTTTTTTGTTGCTATGTTTGTATCGCCTCAGCAAACCGTCAATCTCTCGCTATTGTGTCACGTCAGTCGATGGTTACATGGTCACCTGGTTTTAGTTCTCAGGTCTGTGGCAGAATGTCTTGGCTGTATATTTGGTCTCTCCGATCAGCTCCAGACAGCATTATGTTTACCACATTATAAATAAAATTTACATATATATATTAATATGTTGTATTGTGTAGATATATAAGTTATAGTGTGTAAATAACATAATATATATATATATATGTAATATATAATGTAACAACATAATATAACATGAGGTAAACTTTATATGTGGTTGTTACGTAATTTGGCGTGCAACGTCACGTGATAAATGAAAGCTATTATTACGGTTAGTAGAACGAGGCCAATGAACATCAAAACCAGTCGTTGTTAAGCATGGTCAACTGAGCATTTCGGGCTTTCATCATCCACACACTCACTGGTTTCCAGATCGATAAGTAGGCTAAAAACTAATCAGAACAATCAGATCATTAATATTCGTCACAATCCCGACCAAAGCTGAAGAGATCCACGGACGCGTAAAGTTTACATTTTACCCACGATATAAATAATCTGGAGAAGTTCTACTGGGACAGTGCACACACTGGAACTGGGTGATGTCCCGCAAAATGAGCGGCATCATTGGAAATTGCGTTTTGCTAGCCCGTTGAAGCTATCCTCTTTGACACACAACTTGTCAGGCAAAGCATATTTTGGGGGACCTTGAAAGCTAAAGTCACCGCGCTCACATCAAGATCTACCTATAATATACACTAACCTTCACCGTTTGTGATTGTTATGTAGCACTCGATCAGGGGATACCTGCCAGAGATTAGACTACCAGTACCGAATCCCCTTATTATGCCTCAATTCTCAAACTAAACTTGAACAATGATACAAACCTTGGTTTTTGCTATGTTTAAGTACCTATTCGGTGGATGCCGACCTCACAGTTGCATAGCATGCACCTTGTAATTACGGGTTCGGAAACACCATATCATGTGTAGTGGTCCTGCCATCCAGCTTTCTGTTATTTCAGGCTGCATAGTTCAATCAATCTATTGCGTTTAAAACTTTGGATGCTGCTTGGTGTCAGTAGATTAATTATTCATTGAACGTAGGTTGCTTATCAAAGAAGGTGCCGCACGAGCTGTTCCGTCGTCTCAGAATCACCCTATCATTTCTCGGTGATCTTAGTCTCGTAGTCCTTGAGTATCTGATCCACCACGTACATATTGACCCACCTGAAAAACAAAGATATTTATGTTTAGTGACAAGCAATTTTCTCAGCGCATTAAAGCTGGCATATTGACCGCAATGTTGCAGTCGAGTGGACCTGCATTATGAGCGCCTTGGCACTTTGTTCATTCAGATTAGCAGAGCATTTGAGCTGGATTTATCGAGATTGCGATGCATGCTCGATGTCTAGCGTAAAGTTTGAGTTGTTGTCATGCGCTACGACAAAGTCGGGCAGCATTTTTATGATCAATTAATTACATGGAGCACGATGCTGGATTCGGTTGCGGGATAACTGTGTCTACGATCAATAGTTCACCCACGGTTTTACAGAGCAAGCATGTCATTTTGCAGTCAAATATCTAGAACTTGTCGAACAGCACTTTCAACGTTCGCTTTAGTATTTCTTTTTTTCTTCAAGCGGTCCGCAAAGTAGGACCAATTTACGCCAAGTATTATCACATATGGTCTACTTATCAGGCTGTTAATTTGTCAATTATGTGTGGTGTGGATAGCATGAGATTTTTTGGAAAGCGAGCTTGTGAAACGCAAGTATTTTGTTTCTCAAAACAGTACAAAATTCGAAAGCTTGCAAGGTCTCAAAATCCTATCCCCGTTACGTTATTTACATCCAGAGCAATACACGAGAAGTGGCGTACACTACTGTACAGTTAGGTTGTTCGGCCGGCCAGATGTGATCATTCTAATGGCAACCAGCCTCCTAGCTAAAATCATTAGTGATGTGCCAGTTCAGTGGTTTGAGTTGATGCATACCGGAAACCGATGAATGGACTGAAGAGTTTGATCATCCGAAATGGGGACAAACTCTGCTTTTGCGCGAACCAGACGGCAGGTGGTGATCAAAGGGACTGGGACTCACAGGTTCTCACTGAACGAATAAAATACGACAGTCAATGAACTGGGTCATATGCCTGTCGCACAGATATAATTTCATGTGGGTTTTTCACATCAGTTATCTTCCTCCAAATAGGCTAGAATTTGTTCGTCGTACTGTTATCACGGCGACTTTTGTCTGTCTTCGAAACCGAAACATGTATTCATAACGCCGTGGTCGATGTGGAATCCTGGCAACGTCAAAACAAACCCTCTTAATTGGCGTGCTATGATACATTTTGTGGATAAGAAAGAAAAAAGAGAAAGCGTTCAGATGTAGCACCCGTCCGGTGCCTAGCTGCCATGCCACCCGAAGGAAGCACGAGGGCTGGGCTACTGCCATGTTGCCCAAGCCTAGACAGGGGAAGTCGAGTGGCGGAGGTCGGATTCGAACCACGAACCTCCCGGTCAGTAAATTCGCGCTCTAACCACTTGGGCCATCTCGCCCCCCAGATAAGCGCAGGTACAATGAGCACCTCCTCGGAAATTGCTGAATCAGCCTTACTTTCTGTAGCCTCATGGGAGCAACACTGCGCGTATTCAAGCAAGCAAGATATGCGTACCATTTAGCAAGATCCAGGAACTGGGTATCTCCATGACAGAAGTGAATGTAATCATTGAAGCGAACGGATCCATTTGTAAACTAACTTGTTAGGATTCCGTTCACGAGTGAAGAAATCACTCAAATGATGTGGGTGTCTGACGCTTGTAACTCGGCCAGTTCTGTGAGCAACTGGTGACCAACGGACTTGTGCTTAGGAAAAATTTTAGAGTCATTTTTGGATTCGAGCGAGTCGACTTCTTATTGCGAAACTTTATCCCAATTATTATTCTTCTTGACCACCAAAGTTTTCTCACTGAAACACTATGAAATGCATTTTCAATGGCTCAAAGACCAAGCCTCGCAATCGAAAACCAGTCCGGGTACTCTAATTTGGTATGTTTCGGTTACCATGACAAATACCCAGTTTGCGATCCCCATTAAATCGTATGTTTAAAACTAGGGACGGATTTGTCCCGAAAAGTCGGCACATCACTAAGAGATACGCGGGCTTATTAACCTACTTCTAACACATTGTTACACTGCCCGGTCGGGATAAATAATCACTTCATAGGAAAGTACTACACGTCAGTGTTTTATTGAGTCGAGACTAAATAATTCTCTCCTGTTATTGGAACTCAACTCTTTGTGGCGCATGCCAAAATGCAGCTAGAGTTCAACTGGGCGTTTGTCGTATGAAACCAGGCACCGTCGTGCCTCAGTCAGGCTACCTTATTCAGTCAATCTCAGAGGATCCACAGCGTTGCTGTGAAAATATTACCACCCAAATATGTGAAGACCAATTTCTCTCACGCGATGCATTGGACACACCATGTGCTTTGAACACATGGTTAAAACGGGCCGGTTGAGAACAAAAATATACCGTACTTATGGGAAATTCCTGGTGGGTAAACTCATCCTAGTTGATTTTCCCGAACAGTTTATTTCGTTTGATCACAAAAGTGACACCATACACACACACTGGGTTCACTGAACTCAAAACACCATCCTCGCGTAGCCTTGTATGAAAGCCATAGACTAAACGAAGTGGGTGTTTATTTTCCAAAAATTCAACGTTTCGTTTTGAGTTGTATTCAGTCGGAAAACTATCAAACACTGGTTTTCAGTGATGATTGAGTTTATTTTATCTGCTTCCTGCTCACTTTTGAGGAAGATTTTGCGGATAACACTTATCGTTGGTGATATTAGTGTTGTGATATTGGTAGCGTCTATTAGGTTTTAATTGTTATTGTCGCATCCACACAAAGACGCAACACCATTGAGCGGCGCTTTCGCGAATTATAGAATTTTGAAATCTACGCACTTTGTCAAAACCTGTTTATAAGGATACCGAAAGGTTGTGACTCAGTTGATATTCATTTGGGTCTCTGGTTACCAGTAACTTATTAAGCACAAGTGTGAAGCTTGACATCGTAAACTCCTTTCGAATCTTTCGACCAAAATGTGTTTTGTTCTTTAATCTCCCCATGCCCTGTAGATTTTGCTGCAAATCAACAAGTGAGTATCGGGGAGTCAACGTTTCAGAAGAGAGCTACAATATTTTACCGAGATAACAGCGCCCTACTTGAGCGATCCTGACGGCCCGGTTTCGCAAACGCCACATCCTCTCCCAATAAGGTTGGACCGTAGCTATGCAAGTGAATTTCTTCAAACATTACTTTGGTGCAAATACACATATCAAAACCCGACCAATATACACTTTGTTATTTTGCTCGTGTATATGCAAATGCATATGCCTGATTTTGTCGAGCTTATCCTCTCCCGAATTACTCCGATTTTAGATTTCGCACTCACACCAGACAGGTCTTACGAGATCGTTTGCCAAGGGGTGCAGTATGGTTCATATGCAGCAGATGAATCAGGTGCATTAAGTCCAGTCGTGTTCAAGTATCCCACTTAAATGTAATTTTATGGTATAGGTAATGGATGGCCACATGTTACACCCGCATGTTGTGCCATAATACGACCACAGTAACCTTCCGCGGTGCAAATCCGCAACTTTAGTCAACAGCCGTTTTCATTTTCCTCTTGAGTGCTTGACAGTGGACGCATGCAGCTTTGCTTTTATTCGATTGAATTATTACCTCTCTAGCAAAGCATGTGCTAGTGTTATCCGTAACAATTCCACAGCGGATCTTCGAAGTCGAAGTCATGATCCTGTGCTAACTAGATTTCCTGGTTGACTTTCCATCATACATCTATTGTAATCCGTAGGTATTTCTTTCAATTTCAAGATGTGAAATTGCGGAGAATTTTTCAGACCAGATAATGCGGGTTTTCATTGGTCTGTCTTACTGGAACGGCAACTTAGTTTCAGACGCTTCATCACCGAACTCCGCGCGGTTTCACAGAGTGGAGTCAAGCGTCGGTTTCAGCGCGTTGAGTGCATCTGCATGTGTCTGCGTTCAAAATGCCCGACTCGTTTGACCTTCGATTACGATTGGCCGTTTGGTTTGGCGGTTCAGAAGTACTTCCGAACTGGGGCTTCTCTGAGCATCTTCGTTGAATGTCGCAAACGGGGGCGCTGAAACCAATAATTCCCTCTTCTTAGTTGTCTCATGGGTTCGCGCCATCAACGATACACTAATCACGACATAACTCAAACGTGCCTTCCATCGAAAAAGGGGATTTGCAGTGTTCATTTGGGAAGCCTCTACCCGGTGTTGTTCCTTGTGTATTTCATTCCAAAGTTGCTTGAGGTATTAACAAAAGATGAACATATGACCGTCTTTAGCTTGGCCAGTTCAGGCCAAGTGACACATTGTGCACCGGATTGCATACAGGGATTTCATGCACTTGCTCAGTGCATTATAACCTTAGTAAAGCGAAAATGCCATCAAAATATAAGTAGCTCAAGAAAGAGGGGTAATTCACGAGTTTCGTGAATGGTCACGTGAAGAGCCAGTCGACAACCAACCACGTGATGTGGTTTCAGATATAGAAGAATGAGTGGCGCCGTATCGCCGCTTAGTGCCCGCTTAGCCTACCCTTGATCATCTGATCGTGACCGAAAGTGTTGGAATCCAAACGGTTAGTCGGGAGTTCGTGAGCTTGAAATTCCGTGGATTTTCGTGAGACGTACACAGCCGATTCCCAGTAAGAACGAAGTAGCTGTGAAGTGGTTCACGGTTATTCAGCATAGATTGGCTGCTAATACATGGCAAAACTTGGCTTCTTTTGCAGTTTCTAGGCTTCAAATCAAGATGACTACATCGCTTCGAACGGTGCGAAACGCTTCTTAATTCTCACAGTTTTGAATCCGGAGTTGTGCACATCTCATTTCGCCATATTGCTACAGAAAACCTACTCAGTCGTAAATGTTACGCGTAGACGTCTAGCCTGGACACACAGATTACCGGCTGAATTCGGTTCATTGATGTGGGTCGCTTTCATTTCTCGGCTGCTGTTATGTTGAGTTTGCAATGAGCATTGCTGGCCCGATTCCGAGGCTGATTTGATTAGGCGTTCAATGTGAATGGAAACCTTTAGCATCCGAATTTCCGCCGGAATTCCGTTTGAAGGATTGAAACTACTCAATACTGACAAAATTGCCAAGTTGAACTGCACAGTTGACAATGGCCGAATAGATTATTGAATCATCCCTTCATTCCATTGCGTACTAGTATCGCATACAGAGTCCGTCAATATTGTTAGAAAAACCTGGAGTTGAAGACTGAAGAATACCATGAAGAATTATTGAATGAAAGATAGGGATAAGTAATCAGAGAAACGGTCGAAAAAATGCGATGACTGCTTGAGCAATGATGATCAAAAACAAAGTGGCTTCCGTATTTGGAACGAACGTCTGCTGTTCGTTGGCCCATTGGTCTGTACATCTTCAGAATTGCCATATTCATCCCAGGGCTGACAGTAGCCTGTGATATGCTACTTTGTTTTTTTTCTGAAATTTTATTACACTTCGAGGCGTTATTCTACGTCAAACAAGGCGCGCTGTTTTTGGTGTATGAATTGTTTTCCGAAATCTTTGTCCACGGCCTGAAAAACAACTTCTGAGCGGCAACGACAGAGAACAATAACAGACCTTCATTCGGTCAACTGAGTCGATTGATAAATTAGAACGAATGCACTTAATCTGGAAGAAAACTCACTAGTTATGGGTGTCAGACCGTTATCATTAAAGCATCGAGCACTTCGCTTCTGAGGGTTTGAATTTACAATGCAAGCTCCACATATGATGCAATATGTTCAACTGTTTCGATCGAAGGCACCTGCTTGATCTGTGCACGATTCTTGAATGGTTCCAAGTGCGGCTGTGAAGTTTTAGGTAAATTCAACTTTTCATCCATTGGTAAGCTGACTCTTCTTTTAAACTCACATCTGTTTTCTTCTGAATTGATTATTGCGATCAAAATTGCTGCTATGACATCAGGAAAATTGCTCCCCAAATGGAGTTTTTCCATCAATCTGTCCACTGTTTGCTAAGAAATATCTGGAATCGCCGGGTGCCGTTTTACTAGTTGTCCATCATTTTCACCGATCAGTCAATACAAGCACATCAGTTTGCATACGATATTTCGAACGCTCCCGATGCGTCCCACATAAATATTCTTTCTGCAGACTGAGCAGTTAGCGTTTTC